TGTACTGCCAGAAGACGTTGAAAGAGTACATAGTGCTTAGTTAATAAGACTTGGTAAATGGGTTTGAGGCTAAACCCAACTGAAAGGGATCTGGAAACTAGTACTCTGAAGATATGAGGGAGAAGATTACTTACTTACTTATTTACTTAATTACTTACTTAATTACTTACTTACTTACTTACTTACTTACTTACTTACTTACTTACGCCTGTTACTCCCAATGGAGCATAGGCCGCTGACCAGCATTCTCCAACCCACTCTGTCCTGGGCCTTCTTTTCTAGTTCCATCCAATTCTTGTTCATTTTTCTCATGTCTATTTCCATTTCTCGGCGTAATGTGTTCTTTGGTCTTCCTCTTTTCCTTTGGCCTTCAGGATTCCATGTGAGGGCTTGTCTTGTGACGCAGTTGGGTGCTTTCCTCAATGTGTGTCCTATCCACTTCCAGCGCTTCTTCCTGATTTCTTCCTCCGCTGGGATCTGGTTTGTTCTCTCCCACAGTACGTTGTTGCTAATAGTGTCCGGCCAACGGATCTGAAGTATTTTGCGTAGACAACTGTTAATAAACACCTGTATTTTCTGGATGATGGCTTTCGTAGTTCTCCAGGTTTCTGCCCCATACAGTAGAACTGTCTTGACATTTGTATTGAAAATCCTGACCTTGGTGTTGGTTGACAGTTGCTTTGAGTTCCAGATGTTCCTCAGTTGTAAATATGCTGCTCTTGCTTTGCCGATCCGCGCCTTCACATCTGCATCAGATCCACCCTGTTCATCAATGATGCTGCCCAAATACGTAAAGGTTTTTACATCTTCCAAATCTTCTCCGTCAATTGTGATTGGATTGGTGCATTCTGTGTTGTATCGGAGAATCCTGCTTTTCCCTTTGTGTATATTGAGACCTACTGCTGCTGAGGCTGCTGCCACACTGTTCGTCTTCTCCTGCATTTGTTGTTGCGTTTGGGATAGAAGGGCCAGATCATCTGCGAAGTCTAGATCGTCCAACTGCATCCTAGATGTCCATTGTATCCCGTGCTTCCCTTCAGACGTTGACGTCTTCATGATCCAGTCGATCACCAGGAGAAAGAGAAAGGGTGAGAGTAAGCAACCTTGCCTGACACCGGTCTTTACCTCGAACGACTTTGTCAACTGTCCTCCATGCACGATTTTGCAGTGTAATCCATCATATGAATTCTGTATGATATTGACTATCTTCTGAGGCACGCCGTAGTGTCGAAGAAGTTTCCATAGTGTTGTTCTGTCCACGCTATCAAATGCCTTTTCGTAGTCAATGAAGTTGATGTAGAGTGATGAATTCCATTCAATTGATTGTTCCACAATGATCCGTAGAGTTGCGATTTGGTCTGTACACGATCTATCCTTACGGAATCCTGCCTGTTGGTCACGAAGTTGGGCGTCTACGCAGTCCTTCATCCTGTTTAACAATACCCTGTTGAAGACTTTTCCCGGTATTGAGAGAAGAGTGATGCCCCTGTAGTTATCACAGTTGCTGAGATCGCCTTTCTTCGGTATTTTGATCAGAAGTCCTTCTTTCCAGTCTTTTGGTACTTGTTCCTCATCCCAAATCTTATTGAAGAGAATGTGGAGTATCCTTGCAGTTGCCGCTACGTCTGCTTTTAGTGCCTCTGCTGGAATGTTGTCCGGTCCTGCTGCTTTGCCACTCTTGATTTGTCTGATGGCCATGCTGATTTCTTCAATTGTTGGTGGGCCAACATTGATTGGGAGGTCCGTGGGTGCTGCTTCGATGTTGGGTGGGTTCAGTGGAGCTGGTCGATTCAAGAGTTCTTTGAAGTGTTCTACCCACCTGTTTTGTTGCTCTTCAATGTTGGTGATTACCTCGCCTTCCTTGCTTTTCACTGGTCGTTCTGGTTTGCGGCGATTTCCAGAGAGTTTCTTTGTCGTGTCATACAGTTGTCTCATGTTTCCTTCTCTTGCAGCCTTTTCCGCCGTCGTTGCTAAATCTTCCACATATTTACGTTTGTCGGTTCTGATGCTCCTCTTCACTTGTTTGTTTACTTCTGTGTATTCAGCTTGTGCCTTGGCTTTTTCTGCTCTTGTTCGACTGGTATTGATTGCTGCCTTCTTGTTCCTCCTTTCTTGAATCTTATCCAGTGTATCAACAGTGATCCATTCCTTGTGATGGTGCTTCTTGTGACCCAGGACCTCATGACATGTTGAAGTGATTGCCTCTTTGATCCCCTTCCAGTTGCTCTCCACAGTAGTTCCTTCTCCATTGAGTAGATCATGAAAGGCCTGGAACTTGTTGCTGAGGACTATCTTGAATTTGTTGAGTTTGTTAGTATCCTGAAGAAAGGCCGTATTGAACTTTTGTGATATTGTCCGCCCCGTTGTCCAGTGCTTCTTGAGTTTCAATTTCATCTTGGCGACCAGCAAGTGATGATCTGATGCTATATCAGCTCCTCTCTTGGTTCTCACGTCCTCTATAGTCCTCCTGAACGTTTTGTTGATGCAAATATGGTCGATTTGGTTTTGTGTATAGTGATCCGGTGAAGTCCATGTGGTTTTGTGTATGCGTTTATGTGGGAATATGGTGCCGCCTATGACCAGCTTATTGAAGGCACATAGATTTGCAAATCTCTCACCATTTTCGTTTCTTTCTCCCAGTCCGTGTCGTCCCATGATGTCTTCATATCCAGTGTTGTCCGTTCCAACCTTGGCGTTGAAATCTCCCATCAGAATAGTCAGGTCCTTTGTTGGGCACTTCTCGACGATTGACTGCAGCCTATTGTAGAATTGATCTTTAGCGTCTTCATTGTAGTCGTTGGTAGGCGCATAGCATTGGATGATGTTCATTGAAATACCCTCTTTCTTTGTTTTGAACGAGGCTTTGATGATCCTTGGTCCATGAGATTCCCATCCTATAAGCGCATTTTGCGCTTGTTTGGACAGCATCAATGCAACTCCTTGTGTATGTGGTGCATTTTCTTCTTCATGGCCGGAGTATAACAGGAGCTCTCCTGTAGTTAGTCGTTGTTGTCCAACTTGTGTCCAATGTGTTTCACTGATCCCAAGTACCTCTAGGTTGTATCTTCTCATTTCTGCAGCAATTTGGAAGGCTCTCCCGGTGTCCCACATTGTACGAACATTCCATGTACCTAAATAAATGGTCGCTCTGGTTGTCAGAAGGGGCATCGGCCTCGTAACTTCCGAAGGAATTCGGCTTTCATCATGAGGCGTCATAATTCTTCTAAATGAAGACCTTCTGACTCCCAGGGCAGAGTTTAAAAGGTTTGAATAATTTTTTCTGGTTAGCGTTTTTTTAGCGAGTTAGTTTTCTACGGGATGGGGACGCTAACCCCATGCCCAACCCTCCTCCTTTATCCGGGCTTGGGACCGGCAGTAGCCCCCGGAGGGACTCCAGGCGGAGAGATATTATACCAAATAAAACAAAACGCGTAATTCAAATAATATTATCAGACCAGAGTGGTCACTTCAGGGCCAAAGTAAGTGTTAGAATGGCCTCACCGATATATGTAGATTTTAGCAAGGCATTTCATAAGGTTTATCATTAATGTCTTTAGCAAATGCTTTTGAGATTCGGAGTAACAGGTGACATTCGAGAAATGGCTTAGAAACTTCCTCTGTGGCCAGAGACAGAGAGTAAAAATTAATGGGTTACTATCTTTAAGTGGAAGCCCGTTAGAAATGGCGTAACCCTAGGCATTATCCTAGCTTCCTACTTTATCTTTTCCATGTCGATGAATTATCGTGACTGCTTAGGTTGTCCACATTACTGATTAAAGGTGGTGTCCTAATCTGCTGAACAGTAAGAATCAAGGCAGATCGATTTGATCTCCGAGCTGACGCAGACGGATTAGTTGGATATTCCCAATGTTGGGGCCTAGAGATTAGTCCTAAATAGAGTTTGCTATTGCACATTGAAAATGGTATTAATTACCAGTATGCTATCAACGGTACATCGACTCCATGCGTTCAGGGACATAAAAACTTAGAGATAATAGTAAGTCACGACTTGGAAACAATTACTCATAGTGACGCAGCAGCAACCAAGTGTTTTCAAAATTCGTGATCATTTTGTTGAGCATCTAAATGCTTTGGCGAAATGCTTCGAATTTTGTTTCCCACCAATGTAAGACCTCACCTAGAGTACTGTGTTTGAGGAGACAGCCCATGTATTGCCAGGAATAATAGCACACTCTAACATGTCCAGCGTCTGAAAACAAAATTAATGTGGGGTCTTTCCAAGCTGCCTTACGATGAGCGCCTATAACGCCTTAACATTTTCTCAGAGCGCGAGTCGATTACAAACTGGAATTCCGTATATCTCATAACGATTTGGGTGTCAAGATGTTTTATTTTGTGCTCACTCCCGAACTAATCATATTTAAGGGCATAGCTGCGGTCTCATAAACATGGAGGGGGTCTCGTACCTCTCACCGAGTGTACAGTGTCTGGAACACCTTACCTGAACAAGTGGTATGGGGGATCCCGGCAAAAGAGCTTATTCAAGATACAACAGTACTCAAAGATATCATTAATATACCAAAAAGGATTAACACTACAAAGCTGTCTATCAGTAAAGTAAAAGATAACGAATTACAATACGAGTGGTTTACTAAGCAACAAAATGTTAACAGCTGATATGAAATGAATGTTATTTGTAAGCTGCTCTCTGAGAAAACCATAAATGACTTCACTTGATTATTAAAGATCCGTCTGCATGTGGTGAAATCAACGGTGTAATGAGAAAGAATAAATCAGATAGTATTATTTATTAATTGTCCGGGCCAAAACTCCAACATAGTGTGGGAAGGCCTAAAAGGATGTTATAACACTATTATAATCTTCAAACAAAGGCGGTGGCCAATAAAGCAGAAGAACAGACAGCGGAGATAGCGTTTATATTTTAACAATCGTGGTAGTATGCCTACTTAACCAAATAATTATATACGTTTCTTTACCATTGATATAGAGAAACAATGGATATTGAATATAAGTGTGGTTTTTATTTTGTCGTTACAAAAATCATTGAGTATACATATCACAATAGTGGTATCCATCCAATCGTCGAACACTTTCGAAAAAAAGATGGACATCCTCGAGAAAGCAAGGTGCAAGGATTATCACAGGTCTACCAACCTATTTTCCTTATTACAGAAGACTGATTATTAAACTGATAACTATATTGGAGATCGTTTCGAGGGCGGTAACTCAAACTTAGTTGTACTTCTAATTACACGTATGTCTTTGTAAGGTTATCGCGTCAATTCTGTTCCTAATCTGGATACAAAAATGTCATCACCCACCTCCCTGAAGCCTTGGTCTAATTAGTTCTTGAATGTTTTTCATTCTTTAGGCTGTGGGATTTCGTATGAAAAATTTCCAATATCAGTTATAGACAAATTACATAGTACTTCGACACGCCTCTTGATATAAAGTGATTTTAAACTGTATAAACATGCCTGGGAATGACTTGTCTGATATGTTCAACAGCATCCCTCCTGTCACCCGTTATTGGTTCTCGGGGACAATATTATTTTCACTTCTCGGTAAATTTAATATTATTGATCCCATGCGTATGATTTTGTTGTGGAACAGAATGTATTCCCACTTCGAGGTTTGCTGCTTATTAGTTTACCATTTTATAGATATGGAGGCCAATCACAGCTTTGTTGTTCTATCCAGTATCCCCATCAACTGGATTTCACTTCCTAATCAATCTGTACTTCTTGTATTCATACTCCTCTCGATTAGAGAATGGTTAGTTTACTTAATTTCAATATTATTTTCAGGTATGTTCCTCGGACGCACTGCAGATTATGTATTTATGTTTTTGTTCACTTGGCTAGCACTGGTGGTATCCTTTATCTGTAGTACTATTTTGCTATTCTAACGAAATTTGTAACACACTGTTATACAATTACTTTTTGTGTTTTAATTCGACGTAAGACAGATTCTTCCTCTGAAATCTGTACCGTTTTTTTTGTTTAAAAGTAATCTGTCTCATACTTCGTCGTACTGGTTAGCTGATAGGTTTAGTTGGGATTGCAAGACATGTGAGAACAAGTGCTTTTTACCTGAATTATAAGTAGCAAATCTTAATGAAACATGCGTCTCCATCGTTAGTTGCTGAACTGTGACAGTTGAATTAAATGTTGTTGAATTCTCGCAGTTTATTCGGATTGACCCCAGTCAACGGATATGAGGTTCAATTTATGGGGTTTCTAATAAAAGTTAGTTCAATTATTATAAATTACCCAATGATCGTGAGAATATTTGTTCATGTTCACAAGATTTTCTTAACTGATCAACAGATTGTCAGTTTCTTGGCTTCATTTTACGTAAGTTAAATACCAGGGGTTGCTTGTCATAATTTGTTATTCCATATTTCACTTACAGTCATAAGATCTTTTTGTCTATTTAATCTCAAAATATATTGTTTATCACATTAATGTAATGACGTGTAAACGATAATGTTTTTCAATATAGGGATTTGTGTACATTGTGGTATTTTCACAATTAAAGATAAACCACCACTGAAAACCTAGAAGCACTAAACACCTGTTTGGTCCTAGTACAGGACTCAGCAGTGCGCATCCATGGTCCTGCACGCGGGACTCCAAGGGGCCAAAGGGCCTGGGTCTGAGTTTACACATCAATTTGATGTACCTTAGTAAGTGGCTCTACCATGTTTAAAATGTCGTCCTTAAAATCACTAATTAGAGAGATATATTAGTGGCTCCGCCTGGAGTCCCTCCGGGGGCTACTGCCGGTCCCAAGCCCGGATAAAGGAGGAGGGTTGGGCATGGGGTTAGCGTCCCCATCCCGTAGAAAACTAACTCGCTAAAAAAACGCTAACCAGAAAAAATTATTCAAACCTTTTAAACTCTGCCCTGGGAGTCAGAAGGTCTTCATTTAGAAGAATTATGACGCCTCATGATGAAAGCCGAATTCCTTCGGAAGTTACGAGGCCGATGCCCCTTCTGACAACCAGAGCAACCATTTATTTAGGTACATGGAATGTTCGTACAATGTGGGACACCGGGAGAGCCTTCCAAATTGCTGCAGAAATGAGAAGATACAACCTAGAGGTACTTGGGATCAGTGAAACACATTGGACACAAGTTGGACAACAACGACTAACTACAGGAGAGCTCCTGTTATACTCCGGCCATGAAGAAGAAAATGCCCCACATACACAAGGAGTTGCATTGATGCTGTCCAAACAAGCGCAAAATGCGCTTATAGGATGGGAATCTCATGGACCAAGGATCATCAAAGCCTCGTTCAAAACAAAGAAAGAGGGTATTTCAATGAACATCATCCAATGCTATGCGCCTACCAACGACTACAATGAAGACGCTAAAGATCAATTCTACAATAGGCTGCAGTCAATCGTCGAGAAGTGCCCAAAAAAGGACCTGACTATTCTGATGGGAGATTTCAACGCCAAGGTTGGAACGGACAACACTGGATATGAAGACATCATGGGACGACACGGACTGGGAGAAAGAAACGAAAATGGTGAGAGATTTGCAAATCTATGTGCCTTCAATAAGCTGGTCATAGGCGGCACCATATTCCCACATAAACGCATACACAAAACCACATGGACTTCACCGGATCACTATACACAAAACCAAATCGACCATATTTGCATCAACAAAACGTTCAGGAGGACTATAGAGGACGTGAGAACCAAGAGAGGAGCTGATATAGCATCAGATCATCACTTGCTGGTCGCCAAGATGAAATTGAAACTCAAGAAGCACTGGACAACGGGGCGGACAATATCACAAAAGTTCAATACGGCCTTTCTTCAGGATACTAACAAACTCAACAAATTCAAGATAGTCCTCAGCAACAAGTTCCAGGCCTTTCATGATCTACTCAATGGAGAAGGAACTACTGTGGAGAGCAACTGGAAGGGGATCAAAGAGGCAATCACTTCAACATGTCATGAGGTCCTGGGTCACAAGAAGCACCATCACAAGGAATGGATCACTGTTGATACACTGGATAAGATTCAAGAAAGGAGGAACAAGAAGGCAGCAATCAATACCAGTCGAACAAGAGCAGAAAAAGCCAAGGCACAAGCTGAATACACAGAAGTAAACAAACAAGTGAAGAGGAGCATCAGAACCGACAAACGTAAATATGTGGAAGATTTAGCAACGACGGCGGAAAAGGCTGCAAGAGAAGGAAACATGAGACAACTGTATGACACGACAAAGAAACTCTCTGGAAATCGCCGCAAACCAGAACGACCAGTGAAAAGCAAGGAAGGCGAGGTAATCACCAACATTGAAGAGCAACAAAACAGGTGGGTAGAACACTTCAAAGAACTCTTGAATCGACCAGCTCCACTGAACCCACCCAACATCGAAGCAGCACCCACGGACCTCCCAATCAATGTTGGCCCACCAACAATTGAAGAAATCAGCATGGCCATCAGACAAATCAAGAGTGGCAAAGCAGCAGGACCGGACAACATTCCAGCAGAGGCACTAAAAGCAGACGTAGCGGCAACTGCAAGGATACTCCACATTCTCTTCAATAAGATTTGGGATGAGGAACAAGTACCAAAAGACTGGAAAGAAGGACTTCTGATCAAAATACCGAAGAAAGGCGATCTCAGCAACTGTGATAACTACAGGGGCATCACTCTTCTCTCAATACCGGGAAAAGTCTTCAACAGGGTATTGTTAAACAGGATGAAGGACTGCGTAGACGCCCAACTTCGTGACCAACAGGCAGGATTCCGTAAGGATAGATCGTGTACAGACCAAATCGCAACTCTACGGATCATTGTGGAACAATCAATTGAATGGAATTCATCACTCTACATCAACTTCATTGACTACGAAAAGGCATTTGATAGCGTGGACAGAACAACACTATGGAAACTTCTTCGACACTACGGCGTGCCTCAGAAGATAGTCAATATCATACAGAATTCATATGATGGATTACACTGCAAAATCGTGCATGGAGGACAGTTGACAAAGTCGTTCGAGGTAAAGACCGGTGTCAGGCAAGGTTGCTTACTCTCACCCTTTCTCTTTCTCCTGGTGATCGACTGGATCATGAAGACGTCAACGTCTGAAGGGAAGCACGGGATACAATGGACATCTAGGATGCAGTTGGACGATCTAGACTTCGCAGATGATCTGGCCCTTCTATCCCAAACGCAACAACAAATGCAGGAGAAGACGAACAGTGTGGCAGCAGCCTCAGCAGCAGTAGGTCTCAATATACACAAAGGGAAAAGCAGGATTCTCCGATACAACACAGAATGCACCAATCCAATCACAATTGACGGAGAAGATTTGGAAGATGTAAAAACCTTTACGTATTTGGGCAGCATCATTGATGAACAGGGTGGATCTGATGCAGATGTGAAGGCGCGGATCGGCAAAGCAAGAGCAGCATATTTACAACTGAGGAACATCTGGAATCCAAAGCAACTGTCAACCAACACCAAGGTCAGGATTTTCAATACAAATGTCAAGACAGTTCTACTGTATGGGGCAGAAACCTGGAGAACTACGAAAGCCATCATCCAGAAAATACAGGTGTTTATTAACAGTTGTCTACGCAAAATACTTCAGATCCGTTGGCCGGACACTATTAGCAACAACGTACTGTGGGAGAGAACAAACCAGATCCCAGCGGAGGAAGAAATCAGGAAGAAGCGCTGGAAGTGGATAGGACACACATTGAGGAAAGCACCGAACTGCGTCACAAGACAAGCCCTCACATGGAATCCTGAAGGCCAAAGGAAAAGAGGAAGACCAAAGAACACATTACGCCGAGAAATGGAAATAGACATGAGAAAAATGAAAAAGAATTGGATGGAACTAGAAAAGAAGGCCCAGGACAGAGTGGGTTGGAGAATGCTGGTCTGCGGCCTATGCTCCATTGGGAGTAACAGGCGTAAGTAAGTATTAGTGGCTTTAGCTGTATATTTTACCTAGAAATGAAGTCCGGTGACGAAATTGGTGCTGTGTAATAGAACTGTTACAGAAACAGGTGACTACGGAGATTTTAAAAACTACCATCACCATAAACTAAATGACGAGTGCATATAGAAAAGCTGTTCATGCGCAAGTTTCATACAGAGCTTTCTAAGTTAAACAAGACTCCTTGGAACATTTCTAGTAGCATAAATCAATATAGTTATCTGATCATTAACTTTACACCTGCGTAAAAATTACGTGTATAAGACTAGGAGGAGCCTATCTCTCCAATCACTCTGAACAGCGAGCAGTTAAGAGTAGTCCAAAAGTTCGTATATTATGGGTAGTCTTATGAGTCAAAGCCACCGAAGTCAATATTTCAAGACGGTGACAGCAATTGGATTATCGTCACTGTGCCAGGACACGTTACTTAACCTCTGCATTAATAACACGGTGTCGTCACTGAATGTTGGCAATCCGTCAGAGACAACGGTGATCAAACACAGAGAGTCGCCCAACCTCAGTTCGAAGAAGCCAGGTTTCCTAAGCGTGGAGCATAACTGCTCTCACCGACTTGTGGATCCGACTTTTTTAGTCAGACTAGCGTCACAAAGGCGCCACAGATGGCTCAGGTTAGCATAAGCCGCTCCAGCCTTCGCTATACATGACCAGCCAAAATTTCTCTCGAAGAACTGGGCATCATTCAAGACGTCGGTAAATATGATTGATTGGCTGAGTCGAGAAAAGCTTCCGCTAGTTACCCGATGCACTGTGTGACAACCAAGCTCCTCTCTCCTTATGCAGACTTTGCACAATATTTTAGATATTACAAACGTCAAACTGATTCCTCTGAAATGATCAAAAGAGGATTTTTATCCTTCCCTATAATTTAGAACGATCAGAGATTTAGACTGGTCAAATGAAATTAAGTCCAGTTCTCAAAATCTAGCTAAGAACTCAACCGCTAAAGGTGAAACATTATCCGTAAAGATCTCCAGAGTTAATTGCACAGGGACTTGTTACTCCTCCTCCTCACTTTAGGCCAACTATAGTCTTTTCAACCTCCGTAAGAATAGTGGGACTTGTATCAATTTACTATGCAGGTTGTTTGGAGATGGCTAAGTTAAGAGTAGCTTGAAGTCAGCTGAACTACCCAAAATGTCCTCTCCATAGGCCTAATCTCCCTTATTAAAAGTGAATAATGGTCTCATCTTTTTCCAAAACAGCCTCGCTAACAGCCATATTTTTACACCTTGAGTAGTTTAAATAGCTGTCTATTGTTGTCTATCGCCGTTGCCTTTTTCACATTTTGTTTTCACTGCCATCCACTGATCACAATCATTAAATACGCTTGTTGTCAATCTACGCTTAGTGTGTTTTCAGAGTCTGGTGGAATGAATTTCCGAGTATCTGTGCATTCAGTATACACTACAGAAATCCATTGGTGCTTCTTAACCTTATGGTTCAAGTCATCGATACATGTTAATAATGTTCCTTTATCTGTTTGAGAATCATGCTAGACCACATCGGGGTGAACGTTGCTTTCGTGCTTGCATTACCGCTTTTGTAGTTGTTCCTAAAATGCGTTCTTGACTTTTTCATCGTAAGGCTGAACTTCTGTTGTGACTTTTCTGCGTCCAGTAAAACGAAGGCAAACTCGTGCTTGCATTATGACGTAATCAGAGTCAAAACACGTGCTCCAGAATTAGCGGTAGTTTTCTATTCAGCCTCTCTAATGATGACTGAGGGCAAGATAATCGATCTGGGCTCATCAATAGGTTTATTTTTGGGGTTGCCACTTTGGGCGGTGTCTTTCCATATGCATAAATTTACTGCCTTCTATAAATAAACGGTTATCTGAGCATAGTTACGCCAAACCGTCATCATTATCTGTTCAATGAGCTGCGACACCGTGATATACACTCAAGTGCCTTTCAGTTTGAATATCAACTGGATTAACTTAGAAATAGCTGCATTTAATATGCAAACTAATGAACATGATATACTCCGCATTTTCTTTATAATCTTCAAATTTATGGTAGCTGTTTTTAATCCCAATAGTTGTTTTAAGTAGTTTTTCTAATGTGTAAATCAAATCTTCATTTTATCAATCGTAAAACTAAACAATAAACTGTCATCCTTAACGGTCATAGATAGCTTGGTTGAATACTGACTATGAATCAATAGTTATTTATTATGTATCAAGTGAAATTAAGTTAATTATAGAGAACAACTTCAATCAAAAAGCATTTTACAATTACTACAACATTATACCATGTAGTAATTTTTACTGCAATGTTCTCCATAAAACTAGGTGCTTCTGGAGCCAATGGTACTGACAGTGCTCTATATATGGAGTCAATTAAATCGTGATGTTATTGTCCAATTTTGGTTTGGTATGCAGTTCAAAGCAATGTACTTTCCGTGGGTCTTGGTAATATTTAACTTAATAGTGCGTGGGAGGTTAGTCTGTGTTTGTTTTATAACCAAAATTTTGTTTGTAACTGCAGTGCGATGATGGAACTGGTTGGAATAATCGTTGGACATCTTTACTACTTTTTCGTTTTCCAGTATCCCCAAGAGTATGGTGGTCAAGCTATATTAAAGACTCCTGGATTTCTGTAAGTAATTTCTCCATGTAGATACTGTATGTAATGTTCAACTTAATTCATATTGTAGTCACTATATGATTAGTAATGGTAAAATTAACTTGGTTTGAAAAGCCCTGGAGAATCATTAACCAGTAAGACTTAGCTCATAATCCTGTATACTTGAAAGGATGAATCAGAAGTTAAAGCGCCAGACTGCTATATTCGAGAACTCCACTGAACAATATAAGTCACCCTTATATCCTCAAGTGTGCGTCAAAAGTGGAAACACAAAGTGATATTTTAGGACCCCATTCCATCAAAAATATATTTCACTAAATTGAAAAAGCAGACTACAGTTTTTTTGTGCTAACACTTAGCGCTCCCTATGTACTAGTGCAGAATAATCCAACTGCGTTCTGAAGCCTAAAATTAATCAAATTCGACTTTTCATACAAATGCTAACTAACCACTTACTCTTTCTAAGTTCGGATCTTCAGCTACACTATGTTTTATTTGAGGAAACTACTGTACAGAAACGTTTTGTAACTTAAGTGTTATTAATATGTGTGAAAACCTTTGTTTATATCAACCCTGTAGTTTTAACTATGAGAAAACGCAGACACTATTTTTCGCTATTCGACTTGCAAAAGCTTATGAGATTGAAAGTCAAGCTCATAAAAGTACTTCCAGTCTATATGGTATAAAGTAACTGCATGTCTGTAGTGTAAGAGAATTCAGAGATGGAAAAGCAATTTATTATTTTATACATATTTACATAGTGCCTTCGTGAAGTACCAAAATCATACAATGAATACATCATATGTTTATCTTCCTTCAGTTGTCTTTTACAGACTTAATCATTCTTCCGGTCCTGTTGTCATTCCAATTGCTCTTCGTTTACCTCCCTCTCATGTTTACTTAATTCTTCTGCTGGTAAACATTCTACTTCAAATTCTTGCATCGTACTACTTATTTCTGTCTGCATAAGTAGTGCACACCATGGTTCGACTAACCAGGATAGAAAAACTCAAAAGGATATTAATCTATAAACTTGATATAGCAGATGGTCTATAATAATGGTCTCTCACGTACAATAAGATGATACGTTAATACGATAATAAGACTAGCTACGTTATATTAGATCCAGGATTCTTGACCCAGAATAAAGAACCGGAGTATAGACTAGATAATACTTTATTTAACACAATTTCAAGCAGTCACTCTCAATAAGTCCGGAGTGGAAATCACATATTTAATTGTCAGTAAGCTGTATCTATTTGTACTCAGTGACCAACCATATCTCACTTTCACTACATCAAAAGCACATAAAATCTAGTTCAACACGTCACCAAAAAATGACATGCGCAACTTAAGGTATAAATAATATTGTGAGAAAAAGGGAGTAAATATGAAGCAAAGGAGAGAAAACAAACATAAAATAATTAACAAGGGCATTACATAATAAGAAATACAGTTCAGCTAAAAATTTAGTTGATTAGCGCTGTCACTGCTATGACACTTAGTGCAACAACCCCACACATGCTGAATGAAGGTGCCTCAGGGTTTTTCGGACAAGCACACTTAAAATAATCCCTTCGAATCTACAGATGTAAAGCGGTCTTTTAGTGCTTCTGTAATGATGAATACAGATTCAAAGGTATAAGAGACGTCAATACCGAGGCTTTGCAAAGCATAGTCAAACCTTTCCGTTGTCCTATCTACGAACTCTGAAGAAGGCCAGTTTGATTGGGAAACGAAGGTTTAGAAAAGTTGCATTAAAAGTCTATTTACTAAAAGCATCCATAAATTCGACCGATCAGCAGCTTCAAACCGTTGGAACAGGACAGAACTTTCACCGTAGAATGCTGCTAGGTTAATTGAAACAAAAAAGGATACACAAAATGTTGATAATGAGGAACGGATAAGTGACCGATGTAAAGTACAAATAATGTATAGATGAACGGATAAACAGACCAAAAAATATTTTACAACAGTAATCATCTTTTTATTCGTGTTTGGGTTGAGATATGACAGGGCCGCTTAAACAGAAACAGATTGTTTTTCCTAAGAAACAACTTCCCTAGCCTTCGATCAAAAGGCCTAATACACGGAGCTGTGAAAAAACGTTAGGAGACGCGGTCCTATTGCAGCGAGTGACTAAAATATGTTTATACGTCATTCCCTTATGGATCAAGGAGTCTATGTCGACAAATGCCATGGTACGGCCAAGGGTGGTGGGAGCCAACTGTCTCTTTCAAAATACATGGCCATGTGTATACACCCACTGTCAGGGAAGTCCTACTCACTGCCTGCTCGCGTCTGGAATGCTGTTTAAGAAATTGAAAGAACGAGAAGCGAATGACCGGCGCCTCAATTGGGTTAGTGTACACAGGGTCTACCTAGGGGAGTTGGAAAACCCTGATTTCAAACCAGTGGTGCACGTGAGCTCCAGGATCCTGAGGGATCAAATGGCATGTGAACCTATTGTTGGTCATCGGCTACCATGGGTTTGCATCTCCTAACGTTGCTCGACTGCCTTACGAATTAGACCTCTAGATCGAAGGCTCGGGGTGTGGCCGCCTAAGAAAACCACCATCTTTAGCTCCCGAGCAGTAACCCAGACCTTATTCAAATTGAATTTGTGTGGCGCATATATGTTTGGTACCACCTTGTACTAATATTTATGTATTAATAAAAAGAAATGTCGATCATTGGTTTGGAATCAGGGTTTTCCACTTCCTCCAGGTGGAATCCTCAATATCCACCAATCTGGGCTAAGCGCTGGATATTCGTTTCCAGTCCTTTTACTCATAAAGAACGTTCGCCACGAGAAGGCAGTGAGTACGGTAACAGATAATTTTGGAATGTGTCATTGGTCTGTGGTATTTATTCTCATCATAATTCATTAGTGAAAGATGATCTAATTTGTACCAGAAATCTGAAGATTTCGCACCGGTTGTGACTTTCGGCTGTTTTGGAAATAACCATTAACTTAAAAATATAGCTAACAGTGAAATAAGATTGATTTTCTGGACATGTACAAACATAGTGTCAAGCCTATCTGAACTGCGTAATACTCGTCAAAATTCTAAAAATAGTCAGCAAGATGCCTAAATTAGCAACAGAATAATTGCACAGGCGACAAATAGGGAAACACACGCGCTGTTTTTCCAAGCAAGTCATGTTTTGTAATCCATACATATGATGAGTAACTACGACCCGAAATCTGAATATCTCAACTGTGTGCCTAACTATAGTTGTTGAAAATCTCTTTACTGTGATATTAAAACTCAATTTATTTAGACTTGCTGAATCATTTACTTACTAGTACTTAGCCATCTGAATAATTGAAAATATTGTGCTCGATTTCGATATACTATAGATTGACTGGTTCTGGTTGATCTAATTTGAATTAAAAGTATTTTTTGACCTGTGCGCAAAATTGTTACTGTTTTAAGCGATACAACTAAATAAACAGAAAAACCTTCTGAAATGCCAGATATCGTACTGTTATTAAACATTGAAAAAGTATGGCTAATTCCACCCAACATTACCGAAATTCAATTATTCATCACGTCCTAGAGGAATGGATAATAGTCAACATTGTATGAATATCCATACATACTTACTGTCTATCGAAGATTAACAGTCCTCCAATTATTAGTTTGCTGGATTCAGATCATTTCTCACACTTATCAGAATAGTTTCACTTCCATTAAATATAAGGTAATTTTACTTTCGAGTAATTATTTTGTTAGTTGTTCCTATCTCTTGTTTGGACAGTTGTATTAAGTACTCCAAGATTAAAATCAGTGTATTTTGTTTCACAGATATAGACTATTTCCAAACCAAAGAGGCATTACAACTGGTTTTGGAGAAGCCCCACGCGCAAGACAACCAACTACAACTACGGGAAGATTTCCTGGACACGGCCGGGTTTTAGGAAACGATGAATAATACTCATTTTTCTAATTGACCAATCTGTATATCAGAGTAAATCGAATAAAAAACGTATTACTCTCCAATCTATTGCTGATACTGGTTCAGAAAAATTAACAGTCCAATACGTTGCAAATATCCTATTTATACAGGTTCAGAAATTAAAACTGCCTATTAGACTTGCAAAAGGTATAACATATATAAACTTCCAAAGAACGCAGACGAGACTCTGAGTTCGCTAATTTTACTTTTTGGTGTAAGATTAGTGGCTACCTTCTTGACCGTCCCGAAACATTTGAACGCCATATCAACTTTACACCGGTTATAGTCGAAAAATTATATCGAAGCACTTATTTTGAAAGCTGGGTGCTCCAATGAAGGGTACGGATTTTTAACCTTACCAACCGAATCGAATAATGTAGATTCATTTTCCCATTGTGTAGTCGCTTGTTCGGAAAGACTATGGTTTCACCTTTTCAAATTTCGCAAACAGTTGACCTTACATATTTTTCCTGACCAAATTAACCTCGTGAGCTACAATCAGTGCCTTCAGATTGCTTTTGTTCTCCAAGTTTACTTAGAAAATGACCATGTTAAGAACCCCCTGGTAAGATATTATGAACACTTAGTAGCTCAGACTTCTAGCCATGGTTGCTAGCAGTTGTCTCATTTCTGGAGCTATTAACTAAATTAAACGGTACATCCTCTTAAAACTATTGTCACAGGATAACTACAGTGGGAGCTTCCTCGTGTTCGCTTGATTATTGTGCCGAAAGCTGTTTTAATATTCTATTCGGTCTAACTTGATTATTAAGTTGTGAGAACACTTAATACTTCCGATAGACGTAACTTTCGATTTCACTGACCTGCGGTTGATGAAAAAGCAGCTGTAGATGAGGAACAGAACAGTTTTTTACCTTTACAATGCCTTTTTCCAGATAGCATACAAACAATTGGAATCTGATTCAAAGTCCTGTTTTTATCTTTAGGCATCCCGAGTACTCCGTTATGATCTTTAGTCTTCAGATAACCGGAGCATTAATGGAATCAGTTGTGAAATAAAATGCCGCTCTAGGATCCTGTATTCCAGTCTCACAGACATTCCACACTCCATGAGAATGGGTTCCAAATTCCCGACTCACTGTTTGAGTTGATATAGGCTGTAAAAAACCTAAAGAAAGTCAAATGATTAAGTTATTTGCCACGGAGCATGAACAGCGCTGGTCTTATTAACTATGTTCTGTACACAAGTTGGAATACGTTTAGCATTGTGTTGCCTTAATTCCGTAAAGTATCGAAGCTAGAAATGTTTGATTATCATTATGAAAATTTGCCATCTCCACAGCCTAGTTAATTCTGCAACTCCGCCCTAGCATTTTTTCAGTCTCTGACCTCGCGGCTTAGACTACGGGGACTTACCGACCTGTCTTGGGTAGCTAAGTTGGATGTTAATGACAGGACGTACTTAGCCACCGCTTCGGTGTGTCAACGACAAGGACAGACCGTCGTTCCAAGTGGTTACACCAAGGTCGAGTAGTCCAGGATTCAGTCATTGGTACGGCCTTGGAGTATTGACTCAGTTGGCTTACGGAATATCACTGTCGGATATTAGACTTGACTGCCAAAAATAACAGGTTATATACGACCCGGAACTGCGCTATATTAATTGCATTGTTTCATCCAGTCCTTCAATTGTCTTGATCTCTTCTTGTGGAAGCGTCAAAATCCATTACTGCAAAATGATTATTCGCAAACTTGACCGTATTTGACAAATACGGAGGTCTCTCTGTAGCTCCGGAAAGTTAATTTTTGTATGGAACTTACACCGTAGGTAGGGTCAATAAGTCAATGCAGTAAACTTAAATACGCTCCACTAATTTTAGTCTTCTTGTACTTGTCTTTGGGTTACGACCAGTTTTAGAAGAGCTACATAGTTCGAGTGGATTCGAACCTGAAACATTATTCAGCACTTACAATATTGTTTTACAAGGTATGATTCTGCTAAAGAAGTAAAATCAGAAGGCGCATACGAGGTCAGAATTCACTGGAACTATGGATGATACTGTCATGATTTTTCTAACATACGAAATCCTATATCTTTACAACTAATAAGACATCTCTAGATTTGACAGTTCAGAAGCAAAGTAATTTAGCGCTGGGATGTTATTTTCTAATTGAACCAATATATTATTCGGCACCACTGGCAACTAAAAAATGAATCACTTAGCTGATCGTCGAAGTTTGGAGATGAAATCCAGGGCAGAACTCAACTAAACACCCAACACTCAAAACACAGGTTTAAACCTAACTACCACAATCTGTGTAAACATTCGCTTGTAAACCAAGTTAATGGAAAAAGGTTTAAGTAAGCCAATTTGTATAATTATGACCCCATAAATATGGAAGAGGCCATTAAAAACGTATCAAGTGCAAGATTTGCATACGATTAGATTAAATTTAAAGACAAAGATTCAAATTTAAATGAAATCAAAGAAGCACAAATGGGAGCACTTCAAAGATTTATTTTTCATTTGCACTGACTTTTTTATTTTGTAGCTACGAAAAAACTCAGCTGTGGAAGATATTAGAAAAAAGTACAAATCCTTACAGAAGTGAGATTGTCTGTAACAAGTTGAAACATCTAAGCAAAATCACTAACAAGCTGAAAAATGAAGTCAATATTATGAGTAAATCTAGCCAGTTACATGAAAGTGCGGCTGTACAGAGAACAGGAGTGAAGGAGAAATATCTAACCACTCGAACTGACTAAAATGAAAAGCGTATCCCGTCCACTTTCAGTAGAGAAGGCTATCACAACGTGAACATAAAGTTCATTAGCGAACAGGATTTCGAATACAACAGCGTTGTGCGTTCTACAGTTAACAATAAAAATCCAAGAATATGAGGCATTCATTTAAGTGAAATCAACCGGAAAACAAGTAATATAAGCTCAAAAACACAGATCTTAGGCAAATCAGAGAGAGGAAAAATTTCAGGATTGCAAAACTACGTGGTAGCGTATATCACCACTAAGATTTGAAACTAGGAAGAAAGACAAGAGTTATTCACTGAAAACAAAACAAGTTTACAATTCCAAATGTATGACCAAGCCATATGTTTGCATATAGCTAGCTAACGATATTTCTTAATCAAACATGTGAAACTGGATACTACTGATTATGAAATATTATTGTGTATACATCCAAGGGGAGTAAACATATTGGCACACCAACTTAACAGATTTGCAAACAGGAGCATATTTATCGACCGAAATAAGTTACAATTGCATATCACGGTGATAAAACCAAGACAGAGTTAGAAGGAATAACGAGCTTATAGACATCCAAACAGACACGATTAAAAAAATTCTGAACAACAGTAAATTCGGCAGAATAGTATGCTTTCAAAACTTAAGAATACCAAAAGGAATAAAGCAGTAGTAGTGACATTATTAAAATAAAAGTATTGAGAAATAAAAATTTCAGATAAATATACGAATATCTGAAATGGTGTATTACAAATAAGATTTTGAAAACATGATATTGTTTGCATCCCGTTTGGCATTTTTAAAAAGACGTCGAAATTTTCAAACGTGCCAGTTGGTTTTGCAGTGCTTGGTCTTCAAATGCAGTTTAGCAGAGATAGGTAGGTTTATAAAGGGAGTATAATATTCAACTATATTCGATGCACTTGATAACATTAATCATAATTAATTATGAGATGGTATTCACAAGCGTTGGGGTTTTAAAACAGTATACCCCAAGAAAATATGGAAGAACAAAAATCATATTTGGGGCCTACAAAATATGTTCCTAGAGTAATTCATACTGCCGCAGGTGCATTCGCTGAATGATATCGCGGCAATCATTGAATACGCGTCGGATATTTTCTGTATCCACTGCACATGTTAAGTGAGGATAGCAATAATGACGTCCACCATTGTTATTTGATGTTACTTTCTAGAAGCATGAAAATAAAATATAGATATCATGAAGTTACGAAAATTTTAAGAAAACTCATTTCAAAAATTAAAACGAAAGTTTAACTGAGTAGTCAAAATTGCATACAATAGAATGTTTCAGTTTTACAAAGAACGAAATAACTGATATTACATCCAAAACACTTAGATGGGAATTACTGATTTTTAATGAACGAGTGGGTAGTTTTGAAGTTATGATCAGTTAGTGAAAAACTGCAGATGAATAAAGTAAAATTAGCATAGACTATTGGGATCTCAAGGTGTAGATTAGTAAGAAATCAGAGTGACTTACAAGAAACTCATCGCGGAAGAAAAATCGGGCACGTATAACTTCTGAGTTTTCATGACGATACTCTGCCAGTGCTGTACAAGAGAGAACAATACTTAAGATATCTTATTGATAGGCTATAAATTTATGCAACCACGATAGAAATTTTATATACTTACCAAGTTAAAAGAATATGACGTCCCCAAATTATGAAAGTAATACAATATCTCTGTCATGAATGAATAGATAAAAACATTAAGACGAACTTCCTCATACTTAGGTAGACTATAAGACCTCCGAAAAAAGTGAAAAAGCTGTTCATTGTCACAAATCATAATGACAGTAAAAAAGATCAAACATTACCATACAAATTTAGTGGTCGAAATGATATGCGGCACGACTCGAGAAGTTGATTTTCATGAGTGAGAAGAACCAATGTTCGTATAATTATTTAGAAGTATTATTGTTGAAAAACAATTGAAATGTGAAATGATAAAACTAAATGATCTCATGCTTCCCGCAAATTTCACTTCAACAAAAACATGATTTATAAACACGAATCAACAATCCCAAAATATTTGTTAGTCAGTCAAATCTAACGTAGGACCTGAGACATTTTTGCATCAGTTAAACTAGTCACACTACACTAGCACAACGAGATGAAGCTATCAAGACAGATCTCTAAGTACCAAATGCAGTAAGAAAGATTAGGGACATATGCGTTTCGAGAAGACAATATAGATTTGTAAAATATCAACGTTCCGCGGTAGTTTTTTATGTAAATATATCAGCTTGTGGAGTACGTAATGGTACATTAGAACCCTAACATTTTTAATGATAGGGTTTAGTAAGTTCACTCATATGGATCATGATTAAAATTACCTCGTAAGTGCAATTTTCGAAATCTGACATGACTAAACTTGAGATATCTGATACCAGGAACATTAAATCTCTATGACTATTACTGAAGTGAAGGCTAAATGAGATGATTAACTGGGAATTACTTATTGTTAATCAAAAGTTTGCTTTCCATACTCATATAGTAGAAAGGTAAGTTGGCTATTAAAGCTCGAGCCTCTTTCACCTACTTTGGTTTAAGAAACAAGGTGTTATCACTAGCCTACGCTCAACTAGTAAGAATCAAAGTCGAATGCATAAAATTCTAAATTATATATGAGTTTCATTAATTCCAATTAGAGACCATAGCGTAGAATAATTATAGTTAAGAATAACAGCTACCTAAAATTGTTTCGCGACAAATTAAACACTTACTGCAGACATTTACTGTTGTAATCAAATACAATAAATCGTGATCAGACCTTCTTATTTGTCTGGTACTTTGCAATACCATGGCTGCTTTTTGTTCAGAGAAAGTTGCCACTTCGCAAAAATGACATATCGCCAGTCTAGCCGTAAAAATAGTTGATGAAAATAACAGATCCTTACCAGGACATCATATTAAAACACAGTTTGAATAACTATTATCTTATATATAGCAATATTACTTCGTGAAACAATGGGAAACCTGAATGAAACACTAATTGTTTTTCTATGACTTGGTTTTAGCATATACAAGGTATTCAAGTGAATCAAAAATGAATGATTTAGTTCATGGTTACAATCTGCATAAAAACATGTTTCATAATGCAGTTTCAAAATAAAATGTTTCCCAGTGAATTATGAAAATTTCTAGTCACATATCTTTCGAGCTGTCGATAAACTAACAGGACAAATACATCAGAACGCTAAAACTGAGGAAAAGGCCAAAACACTGTCCCATAAATCTTACTATCAGCTGGAGCTTGGTAAGTAGCATAATGCGGGAAATAGACTTCAATCTTGGACTTGCCAGCTAAGACCTTCTCCGTAAGTAGATCTTGCTTGTTAAGAAAGAGAATCACAGATATGTTTCGCAACCATCTACAAAGAATAATACGAAAAAATATACCCTGCTATTTATCTGAAGTAACAACAACTGGGAATTTAAAGCAATTAGTCCCTTTGATACATTTCGATGGTGTAATAAAAAGACGAAGATTATCAGAACTGAGTATATTAGCAAAGAAACTGCTATGTTCATGCTTCATCGAAAACCTAAAGGATAAGAAAACGACTGCGTCACATCCCATTGTGTTTACCAATTTAAGTTGTGTGTGTGGTCACAAATACATAGGGAGGAATAATCGTGATCTCAAAATTAGTGTGTGAACATGTACCTAAATGGTTGCAGAAACAAATAGGATCGAATGACCCTATAAGAATAGAGGACAAACATCTATCATCCTCTGTTGCCAAACACATAATTAAAACGGGTGACAAGACTGACCATAAATCAGCTTTTGTTGTGTTGTACAAAAGTTTAAAAGGGTGTATACTAAGTTTTATTGAATTCCTAGCCATACGAAAATTCAAGCCCCTTTTGCGTATACAAAAAGTTTGTTCTCACCTTAAACCTACCCTGGTAATATTAGCTTATTATCCAAAGTGATGAGGTTCCAAATTGTTTTCACATTATTTTCTTTATTATCCTTGTCTGCTCTCACCCTCCATTCCTAGTCTAGTTGATTTTTTATTTTTTATATATAAATGTTCTTAACAAGTATAAGTGTAATCAGATTGTTCGAAATGTATTGTGCTAATATATCACATGGTTCTGATAATTTTCGTTTGCTTATTACACTATCGAAATAACTGGGGAATAAATTGGTCTTCTTCCTACCTAAAACTATCAAAGAAATATAGCATTTTCTCCGACTCAGTAGAGACAAACTAAACTCAAAACACGTAGTCGCAAAGACAAACATATGCAACTTTGCTTTAAATCCAAATGAGTGGAGAACATCATAAAACACTTCAGTGATGAAACGTATTTACACAGAAGTTTCACTGTTTCATCCACCGATTTGCCATCCTTACCTAGTACCCGTTTCCTAACAACCGAGTTACTTACTCGATGGTCCCACGATATACGAGCAATATTTCGAAGACATCTATGATCGAATACAAGTAACCTACGAATGTCTTCTACTCTATCCGGCCACGTTCCACTGCCATAAAGTAGGATGAAACGAACTGCTTCGCAGTAAACGCGTCCTTTGGTTGATAGACGGATATCTCGCTTACGCCATAAATGACGCATGTTGGCAAAAGCTAGTTGAGCCTTCTGTATCCGTGCTGAGATTCCGTCACACACCAGACCACAAAGGCTGATCAGACTCCCAAGATAAGTGAAGCAGTCGACACGCTCAACTACTTCACTCCCTATCATTAGTTCGGGTGTCGATGGAACCCAATCCCGAAGCAACATTTTGCATTTCGAAGGGGAGAATCGCATCCCAAACATGCTTGCATTGTTGCTTACAGTGGTCAGAAGACTCGGCATTTTGTCAGCGTCTTCACCAAACAGAACTATGTCATCGGCATATTCCAAGTCAACAAGTGGATCTCTCGGCAGAAGTTCAACCCCTGGAAAGTCAGATGCGGAAAGTGTTATCTTTAAAGGCACGTCAACGACAAAATTGAACAAGAATGGAGAGAGTGGACAGCCCTGACGAACACCACTTGAGGTAATCAATTCTGATGACAGTTCGCCATAAGCCCTCGCTCGGCCAGTTGTGTTCGAGTAGAGAGCCTTTATAAGGTTAATGTACTTCTTTGGTACTCCTTTCAGTGACAAACACTGCCATAGAACCCCACGATCAACGGAGTCGAATGCTGCTTTAAGGTCGAGAAATACTACCATTGTGGGGCTTCTGAATGTGTGTCTGTGTTCTAGAACCTGACGTAGTGTGAATATCTGATCTATACAACCACGTCCAGGTCGAAAACCAGCCTGATTTTCTCTAGTCTGCTCTTCACGAGCTTTGATTAGGCGTCGAAGTATTATTGAAGCTAATATTTTAGACACTATATTAGTCAAACTGATTCCTCTGTGATTGTCACAAGAGGACTTTTGTCCTTTCTTATAGACTGGCACAATCAGTGATTGAGACCAGTCAGATGGGATTACGTCCAGTTCCCAAATTCTACCTAAGACCTCAGTTAATCTCACTGCTAATACTGGACCACCATCCTTAAAAATCTCAGGAGTAAACCTGTCAGGGCCTGCTGCTCTCCCTCGCTTTAGATTTCCTATGGCTTTTTCAACTTCGTAAAGAGTCGGAGGACTTACATTAACTTGCCATTCAGGTTGACTGGAGATCGTGGGAAACCGAAGTGTGGCTGAAGGCCAGTTGAACTGATCCCTAAAGTGTTCTGCCCATCGATTCAATCTCCTGGATTGAGAATGTATAATATGTCTAGCTTTTTCTGAGATTGTTTCGCTAACATACGGGTTCCTAATACCGGTTTCCTTAACAAGTCTGAACAGTTGTCTGATGTTACCTATTGCCGCTGCCTTTTCCATCTCTCTCGTTTTCTTTACCCACCACTGTTCGCGATCAGTGCGTAGGCTTCTTATTAGCTTGCGCATAATCTGACATCGCTCTTCGTTATGTTCAGAGACAGATGGAATGAGTTTTCGGGCATCTACCAGTGCGGTAGATGCCCGAAAACCGTACTTGCAGACATCATTGCCGTTTCCACAGCTTTTCGGATGTCATTCCATGCTGCCTAACTGTCTTTTTAGTTGTTCCTCAAATATACTCTTAGCTTGACTATCAGTAAGTATGGCTCTAAGAGGTTTTCTTGCAGCGTCTTTCTTACGTCCAGTAAGACGTAGACAAGTACGCGCTCGCACTAGAGCATGATCTGAGTCTAAGCATGTGCTCCAGAATGAGCGACAGTCGTCTATCGAGCCCCTCCATCGGTGGCTGATAGCGGTATGATCTATTTGGGTCCAGCGTTGGGATGAATTCGGGGGTCGTCATGTTAAAAGATGTTTTTCCTTATGCTTAAAGTCAGTATTTGCAAGGAACAGGCGGTTATCTGAGAAAAGCTGCAACAGACGGTCGCCATTATCTGTTCTTTGAGCCACGACACTATAAGATCCACCCAGGTGTTTTTCCCTTTCGCTTAGTTTACCTACTTGAGCATTAAAGTTACCAGCAACTGTTACATCAGAGCGCCTAGTTTTTCAGAGGTCGGAAAGCTTTCTGTAAAACTCATCTTTTACATCATCTGCGCTGCAGTCATTGGTAGAGTAGACAGAGACGACGAAGAGGCAAGGAAGAGTGTCCCTATTTTTCCGAGTCCTTATTGTTCCGTTTAGTTGGACAGCGCACAAACGACTGTCTTCTGGGATCCAGTCTAAGAGATCTAGCTCTGCCCTAGGACTCAATGCTATACCTACGCCGGCGAGTCCATGAGAAGCAGCATCTGGGCTTCCAGATACACGAAGCGTGAATCGAGTTGGTTCTTTGTTTAGACATGGTGATGTCAAATGAATGACACTACTTGGATCCTGTATGCGCGTTTCGGAGACGCAGCACACATCGATGGCGCGAGATCCGAAAGTCCTAGCTAAGGAAGCCTGCTGTCCTATTTGACACAATGTTCGGACGTTAAAAGCTCCTACATGTAGTTTAGAGTGTGGTTTCAGGAGACCAGGATTAACGTTCCGCGTATTCGAATCGTTTGCCTTCGGCGATGCACGTCCACGATCATGTACGCAGTACTAGAGCCCAGGAACTTCAGTGATGCGTGAACACCTAACCTCTACACAGATGAGCCGGTACCCAATGGAGTTAAAGCGAAACGACTATCCAGTGCCTTCAGGTTCTCAATGGTGCTCTAACATTGGTTAGCTTATGATCTAAATATTTCAGTGATTTCTTTCAAAAATGTTGCATTATATCGTTTCATAACCAACTGCTTCGTCGGATATAAGTGGATCGCGTAGATATCACAAGCATGCAAACACTGGACCTAGGCGTAACTATTTATTTATTTGGGTCAAAATATTCTAACTCCAGAAAAGAAACAGAGAGAACCCAAAGGAGCTGTATTGGTAAAATAAATGCAGAGAGGTAAACCAAGCAGGATAGCGATGATCAAATAGTTCGAATTACAGAATAAACGGACGTACCCGAGAGCTTTCGAGACGCCAACAGAGATTCCTACCAAAAACAGGAAAAATACTTCCGAGCTAAGAAGTAGCTGGCGTATAACCAGGAAGTTCAAGCATTTTGGAGTGGAACGACCACCATTTGTACCTAAGGTAGGTTATGAGCAACCGCATATTTCTTGACCAGTTATGAGTGATGTTATTTAGGAACTAGGACTTCCGAATCTTCTACCATTAACTTTACTTATTACCCAGTGATCGGGAAACTATTGATCTCGTCTTAAATCTGTTGGGCACATATTTATACACATTTCTTAGCATTGATAAAAATGGAGCTCAAAGTACCAATTCCGTAGACGCTCAGTGTGAATTAGAGTTATTAATCAGCTAAGCTGATGAGTTAGCTTACGCCAGCTTATACTATACAGTTACATATTAACTAACATTTGCAGTAGAATTTGTACTGATTGAAGAACAACTACCCTACAAAGGTCTGAACAAACGCGGAAACAGTACAATGAACAGAGAATTCAACTTAGCTAGATCTTTCAGCTATCAAATCCTTCGTCTTAAAACATATGGATAATTGATAAACCAATGAAAAACTATCATTATGGATAGGTTAGAATGCTAATAGATACAACACGTTATACAAACAAACCTGTTGTTCCATATGGAAGCAAGAAGTTCTAAAGACTCCTTTACACGGTTTTGGCTAGGATCTTCTCGCAAGACCATGTTGTACGAAGAACAAGCAGCGACAAAAATGATTGCAGTGACATCGTTAAAGCACTGTATCCACTTTCGGCGCTCTTCCCTCTGTCCACCGACGTCAAACATATGGAAATTAACTTTATCTACGCTGAACTTGGTTTCAAATATTCCGGAAGTTAGTACACGACAGCGCAGAATATCCTGCTCAGATGGGATGTAGTTTGGAGCGCCGACCTCTAAAGTCTTGTCAAGGAAACTGGCAAACATTAAAAAAATTGCAACATACTATTTCGCACAGTCGATTAGTTGATATTCATTTGATCTTTCAAACGTTTCCTGTATACCTCCATCCTTCCATAATTTTGCGCAATATGTGAAAAACTCCTAGACAAATATACTACATAACAAGTTAGTACCGGTGGATAGTCAAAATCAGGTTTAGATGCAGTTTCCAGTATATAATTCCTCAACTTTTTGTTTTCACTGAGTTCAAGCTCTACTGGTGGTTTCAAAGAACTCATAGCACCAGCTATTGACTGACAAACTTAGATGATGAGAAAGAACTTACACAGATAGCGTCACGGAGGTTTTTCCGGATTGCATCAATCTTTTCTTTCTTTTCTCTGGAGTAATTCATAACAAGGGTGAATCAAAGCTTACCGTTCTGAAAAGCCATCTATGTGTAATATCCTCATTTGCTTAACAATGGTCGATTTCCCAGACTCTCCAGCACCTATCAGAGTTAAAAACAACCTTCAATTATCAAGCATACCCAGAAGGAGGAGTCTGTGTGTAGACTTAAAATTCTTTTTCTCCTTTTCAATTAATTTCTCAATCTGCTTATTTGCATCGCTTCGTGTTTTGGCATCTTCCGAAATATTGTTTAGTGTGCAACAGCCAATAACCATTTTTGACTTCAAAAGAGATATTTATCGGAATGACCGAGATGAGTAGAGCAGCACCACACAATGCATTACAATAATCCTACATGAGCTGGAGTCAATGAAGGCATCAAATAAGTCAGAAAGTGAAGTCGATAAACAAAGAACTCAATGTTCAATATCCAACACCCAAGTACTTAGCTACACGTAGTATACATGTTAGCTCGGATCTCAGTTGTCTGAGGCACAAAAAACTGAGTAACATCCAATAAAAAACGATATTGTGTTCCAAAACTCTTCTTTTAAAAGATAAAAATTCCGTGTAAAATTACTATAGCCCATGAGTTATTGGTTTTATAAATAGTAACGATACTCCATCGTATCGAAGAAAGGCAACAACTATGGTAGAATGAGGCCAAGGTTTATTGATTATGGAAAGCGCGACCATCATAAGCAACCATCTAAGAGACTCATAAAATTTATTCTAAGTTTCGCTTCGTTTGAATACGTATAAGACTACTGACTCCATATTTATTCCTTTTATTACTCTAGATCTACGTCAACCGACATTTTGAAACTTATAACACTTGCACGTTATTTAAAAACGATTATGAATCAATGAGATAATCACCAAGACGTGAAACAAAGTGAATTGCAGGATGAACGTGATGTACAATATGAGAACCTACCATTCAGGACAATTCCTTTGGTCTTCAGAGAACATAAGACAGTCTGATAGTAATACAAGTCAAAACGTGAAGTCTAGGTCAATCTGATTATTAGTTCTGCTTCAAGTTCGCAATCACCGTAGTAACTGCTTCAGTCTGAAACTACCGTTCTTAATAGAAAGATTTTAACTTCTGTATGTCTTTTTCCCTTTTTCCTTTAGCCTTTAAACTTGATTGTAAATTGTTGAAGGGTATTTAGATTCACTTTCCAGGGTGTATCTGTTGACTGATCTTTCAAACAAGATGGCGGTACTGAGATTAAATGTCAGGTGAACAAATGATTATTAGGTCCGTCATTTAACTTATTTGTTAGTGATTTATAGTTGGTATAAGACACAAAAGTTATGCCTCCCTATGTGTCGGAGTGTTTAGTAACTGTGTTTAACGTAAATAACTCCATTTCAGGTAAAGTACGTTATTTCGATTGGAACTGGACGTTTTCGATTAGTGGTCTGAAGACTCGACTTATCAGATTTTTCGAAGCTTGAAGTCAGTGTAAAATAATGACCCGGATATTTTCATACAGCTGATCAATCGATTGATTTCTTTAGCTATTCAATAGCATTGACGGTAGCAAAAGTTTAATTAAAAAGCTTTGACTTTTCTTTTAGCCCATCGGTTATAAGCCGAGTGTCCTGTATACACACAGCAATGAAAGGAAGGCGAAAACCGTTAACTCGCTCGAAATGATTCTAGGACCTGTTATATTGACTGTTAGAACCTACGGTCCTATCTGATATCACGTGACAAAAACCAACAACCAGAATATCGAGTCTTATAGCCTAGTCTCATAACTAACAAGTGTTAAGACAACCAGCACTAGTATCCCTGACTCAACTCCAAATCCTTATCAGTCCTCGATATATTGTCTTCATTATTTTCCCCGCCAGTTGAGTCTAGAGCACGATAATCAGCCCCCGTTGTATGAATACTATATTTCAAACGTACGTTACTTATACACAAGCACACCAGACAGAATCAAAGCATAAAATTAAAAGCTATACAAGACAGAACCAAAGGTAGCTGAGTGTGGGAAACTGTGAATAATAGGTTGAGAATAAACTATGAATAACGAAAAAAACCATTGTGGCACTGAAGAAGTATGAAGGCACTTCAGCGAAGAACATTCCCATTTAAACGATTCCACATACTTAAACGGTATAACCGCATTTATAATCAATTATTTATTTGCTTAAATAGTTTTCCATAGTAAGATAGAAGGGTGCTAATTGATGGGGAACTTGAAGTGGTATGTTTTTAGGAATCGAAAATCAGGTATTGGTAGGAGATTATGTGAAAATCGTCAAGCGAAAAAGTGGCAAGGTGAAACAATTAAGAACAGTTATTAAAGTTATAACAGCAGATAAAAAGGGAGGTTATGACGATGAATGAATGAGGGACTGGACATACTCTTCTTGTATGCGAATGTTAAGCTTAGACTGGTGGATAGCAATGGCCCCTTTTGTACACAGGCTTTTCAATTGCAGTCCTATTAAGTCGACTCCCATGACTTTATATGTTATACTAAAGAGGCCTTCTGATGGAGTGGAGTAACCGGAATTGACTAGATCCCCATAGACTGAGCTTTTCACTGACTTTTTTAATCCTTCGGAGATGTAGGCAGTGTAATCTGCTGAGATGGGTTTCAAATGAACTAGGATTTGTGACCAGTATAACCTGCTCGAAATTACCAAGCAAAGAGATAAATGCTCATTGATTTAGCACAAAGCGGATGCTCATCATCCACAGAATTTAGAATCATAGACTGGTCAAGAAACATAATGCAAAGTTCAGGCACATAGATCGTTTTACTCAGAGATCTTGAAGGTCTGTTTTTCAGAATTTTTTCCGCAGTGTCTCCTTCAAACTGAGTATTTATGAAAAGTTTCCTTTGTTGCTGTGGCCATTTTTTCATGTTTCCGTTTTTCGCCTCAGCTTTTTCCAACTGGATACAAGTGGATGTCCATTGTTAGTCAGTGTCTGAAATAGTTCAATAAGCTGGGTATCAATTGTATTCGCGGTTCAGATCGTCGAGCCCTCGAACAGAGAGAACAAATTAGAGTCCTCTTTTACTTCAGTGGGACCCAAACGTTCGATGTTGACTTGCTGCATATCGATCATTGTGGGAAACAGTCGGGTCTCCTTTTTACTAAAGTATCTACGGAGTAGAACTCTGAATTCGACTCTAATTCTCTTGTGAACCAGATTGGTTGATGATAGTTGTTAAATGTTTTCAGGGCGTCGTTGACGTTGATATTTTTATCCAACATAGTGAAAGTGTTGTCTAAGCATCTCTTCTATAAATGGCACTCAGTTATTGGTCTCAACATATTGTTTTCCAGATCGGCAATTAAACAGACAGCTAGAAATTGTTCGAGTGATAACCCCATTGCTAGGCCGTCAATTTGTCTCCAAAACTCGTTGTTAAATTTAAATTAGATACTGGGAGTGCATAGAAGAATAATTCCTTTCAGATTATATACTTAAATAAAGACATAAGTTTGTTATTTTTAATATAATGATGTAACAGACTGATTGTTTCCGTTAGGGGTACATTTGTAAAAAGAGCGGAGACGTCAGATTTTTTGCGGTTACGTTGACACTTGATACTGAATAAACGGAATCAAATGAACCAGCAGTAGTGTATCTGTGGTGGTATTGGTCCTAACCACAAAACCCTCAAAGCTGAACATAAGATAACTAGGAAAATAGATGTTCAGAATTTAACGTGTAGAGAAGGTCAATAATGATGAATGCGGGAACGATCAATAAATTCAATCGATCGGCATGGTTCAGCCTCATAGAAGTGGACATCCTGGAGAACCTGTGTTTATTAACTTTAAATATATTATTCGATCTTTAGCCTGAATGTGTTCCTCAGAAGTAACTGAGTATCAGATTTTTAATTTTTGTGTTTCGATGAGTAAATGTAGACATGAGTGTGACGTCCACGAAAGATCTCATTGATTAGGCAGTATAATCATGACACATCTACTATTTTAGGATAAGGTCTATTATTATAATAGTACTAATAAAGAAATAGACCAAAATTCTATATATCTATTGAGTTGACGTCTGACTGGTCATCGAATTCCAGTTAGCCATTCGGTGATGGCATTGTATGGCGAGTTATTCAAATCCTGTATATGCCATAAGGAGGGATTTTTCTTATCCATTTAAGATCGGCCATATAATTCTGGTATAATGAACCCCGTTGGTTTAAGTCTTATATAGAGCTTTCCATTGACAATTGAGTTATCAATAATTTTTTCAAGGATTTAGTCAAATTCTCCTCACTTTGATATGCAACATCCTTTGGACGTTTTTTTGGGATATCGATTGTTATCAAAGAGAACACAGAATACATTTGAAATATAGTCCTTTTGATCAATTATAACAATGCCAGAACCTTTATCCAGAAAACTTAACATCATATTTTTGTTTCTCAATAGAACAAATAGTTATAATTCATGTTCTATAGAAATTAGTCCTTCAGTTGTTCGTTTTGTATTGGTATATATTAATTAAAACTTACAGTGACTTTTGAATTTTTCACGTGCTTTGTTGGATACAGATGTGGGGTCTTTCGTCTGACGAATTAGGCTATCAAACTGAATTGTTGTGCTGAGCCCATAATTACGTTTTCGATAACGTGATGTTGAAGTAGTTAGAGACGTATTTCTCAAGTGTTTCTCGAAGAGAAGAGCGCATTATTACTAAATTTAGAATTTTTATCAACTCGACCTTCATATCCTCTGAACGTTTCGTCGATAACTTATCTATTTATTCCTTTAACCTGTCACGTTCATCGTCAGTTAATCCATAAAACATGTACTTTTATTTAAAGATTTCCATAGATTTCTAGTAATCCTGGCTTAATTTCCTATTTAAAATTAGAAATGCTGCATTGTACATGATAAATAATGAGTCGAACGAAAGCTTCTGACAAAAGGAATATGAACTTATAGGATCTGGTATGATAATAATTATGCAAAAAGCATATGTATTAGAATATACACATGAAAAAAACGAAGTTAACAACAAAGAAATGTGTCATTTTATTATCACTAAGCTAATTATATGGGTGAAAATACTGCTGAATCTGTCTACTACAATTAATTCAATTCCTGACATTTAAGTATTTGGAGACAATTTATGTGATTATGTTTGTGGTCTTAACCACACAAGATATCTGATAGATTAGTAGAGATTAACTCTGGTTCAGCATTTGAACCCAGGCTTTGCCGCTTTTATGGGCACCTACATTGAAAATTACACTAGTAGATCCTGAGAATATAT